TTACGCAAACAGTTCTTGTCCAATTTCAGTAATTTTTTCAGAGATTGAACTCAAGATCAATTAAAAACAAAATGTAAAATCGTGTTCAAGTATCATTAAAATTTCAAGACTGATTGATCCGTGAAAACAGAGTACTCTAATTTATTACAGAATTCTTCTCTACCACTTTGTGAAAGAACTAAACAATTCTGAAGCTACGTATTTTACATTATTGTTGAGAACATTGTAGTCTTCCTTTTCTCATAAAAATGTGTTGGCTAACTGTTTTCGTTTTCTAGTAGCAGTAAAAATAGCAGAACAATGGATTTTTGTTTATTTAGCAGTCACGTGCCGTAATTGACATTGACATTAGTGTTATTATAATTTTTCGATAGAGTGATGTAAGGGTTACAATAACATGTAAGATGTGTTAGTCATTAATCATTATTATTATTTTTATAAAGCTTTTTCTGTTTTGCCCAACGAAAGTCTACTACATCCTTAAGAATCAAATTTACATTTGGACGATAAAACCTACTAAACCTAAACCTAAAATCTACTCCATCATCTGCCCATGTAGCTTCATTTTAAATACAAATTGAACAGTTTCTACTTATGACTGTGAGTGTGCCACTCTTATGAATGAAGCTGGTAACCAGGTAAAGTAGACTGGAATGTTGGATAATATTAATTTCTAATCAATGTAAAGTAAATGTTGTAAGCATGATGGGATGAGATGTTTCAATGATCAGAATTAATTATCATCTGCACATGCACATGTATTTCCTTTGTTTTTCTGTTAAGGCCAGACTTTTATTATCCCTTGTTTCGTGAACCCGCCGAATGAACAAGAACTGAAAATGAAATAAAAATAAAGTTTTAATTCAGCGTAATTTTTCGTGCCTGCTGACTTGTAAGCGCCAAAAAATGCTAAAAAAATTATTTTTATCTTCATTTTTTTACCGCCTGCCGCATAACAAATCCAAGTTGCATTTTCGTGGGAGTATCATGATCAAAGTCTCGCACAGATGAGAAACAAGGTCATACATGGAATAAAATTTTATTTCATTTCTTCTCTCCGATCAATGATCTCACTTACAATCCTTTGAGAATCACACAAATCTAATAGAAAAAAAGAATTAATTTTATTTTTTTCCCGCCCTCCTCAAAAAAATTGCCTTATAAAAACTCAAGAAACAAGGAATAAAAAAAGTCTGGCCTAAATGCAGACACACAAATTACATTGGAATGGTGAATACTGAAACTATAAATGTGATGGTGGATGAAAAGTGATGTATGTACCTTCAGTTTTAAGGTCGTGATCACCTTCAGTGTCATGTGTCTCTTCAACATCGGAACCTGCAAGTGAAAGATGATACCCAATGGTACCATGTGAATGAAAAATGCAGCGGTGATGGAATGTACCGAGGATATATGAAGAACGGCGTGTATATGCATCTATGCATGGTACTAGATAAATATAATACTAGTACTTATTTTACACTGGTACTTCATACGCGAGAAAATTTAGATCACTCAAGCCAAAATACATATTCTCTATTGGTAGCGCATGCATTTATATGAATGACAGGGGTGTGTCAAAATAAGTTTTAATGATCCAGTATTTGTTGTGCATCACAACACATGCTAGGAACTTGATAACTGGTACTACTGTAAAATCTGTATTAGAAACCACGGCTTCTATCAAAATGGTACAATGCAACACAGGGGATGCGGCTTCTACTAGCACACCTACACATATGAGAAATGATGAATTTTTGGTTCTCAATTATTTAAAAAGAATGGGTGCGACTTCTATTAGGGATGTGGCTTCTAATACAGATTTTACGGTACACACTGAATACATATAATGTAAGTGCAGTGAGTGATGGGTTGTAATTTGGTTAAAGCATCAGTGATACACTCGGCTACATACATTCTGAAAACAAACAACTCTAGATAAACAAAAACAAAATAACTTGGAGCAGGTCTTACCACTATCAGAAGCTTTTTTTAAATTAATAGAGGATAGAAAATAAATAATTTAAATAAATGAATACTAAAGCAATGGAGGGAATTGATGTTGAGATATGGGAGTGTGTGGTGGAGGTTCACTACTTTCATGTAGCACTTTAGCATGTTTAGTGTCTACATAAATTACATTGATTACAAGTACTGTGGTGTCATTAACACTTTTGAATGCCATTATATTTCTTACCACAAAATAAACTTGGTAAAACATTTTGATTCAACATTAATTTATGCTGGCTATGATTCTTGATTGAAATTTTTGAAGAAAAAAAAATTGAATAACTGATAGGTTTTTATTTTGTGAATAACAATAAAAGTGACTTTGACACACAGAGATAGAATTGAGAAAGTAAAAACATACCATCTGATCACAGGAATGTAGAAAGATAGAAAAAGAAAAAGATTTTAAGTGAAGTTACAAAGATACAAACATTAGAAAAAATAACGAGGTCAAACACTAGTGCAGTAACCAAACATACAACAGTGGTAGAAAGACCATTACTACAAAAATATTAAACAGGACAAGACAAGATAAGTACAAACATGGCAGAATTTCAGATTACTAGCAACTAGAGACAGTGATGCGTGCTGTGTATTGGGAGAAATCATGAAAGGAGGGTATCAAGAACTGAGGTAGGTTGTGGTAAAGAGGAGATAAAATAATTGAATTTATTTCATGCTTACTTTCTTCCTTTTCTTTAAGTTTTGTTCTGACATTTATGATGGCTGTTTCCACTGCCTCCTCCTTGGCTAGCTGTACTTGTTTCTCTTTATGTTCTTGTAGGCGTGGTTTGATGAGCTCATCCATATCTAACACCTACAATGGGTAAAATAAAGTAGCCAACCATTTAGTTTAATGAAATGTCTACTTTGATTATCTGAGCTTGAACTTCACAGAAGTATTAAAGACAATTGCTTTGATGCCAAATGAGCTTGTTTTGGTGTCCTTCAATATTCTTCAATACTGCATGTTTGTTTTTCTTTTTCTTGTGCTTTTAGCTTCCTCACTCCTTGAGTGAGTGAGTTTGCTGCTTATTTAACAAAGCTGGCAGATTTTTGTCAGTAATATACAGTTAAAAATGTATATGCATGAGACATTAGCGAATGAAAGATGTTACTTTCTACACAACAAAATGACATTAAAACAAAAACTTACCGTTGCATTATATTTCTGTGCAATTAAGTGACACAAAGTAGTCTTCCCAGAAAGTGGTGGACCTGTCACGCATAATTTACATGGCGGTCTCGGTTGAGGTCCAATCATATAAGGGCGAGGGTTTTTCAGAAACTTTCCCATGGCTTCTTCACTTGACAAAACATACATACGATCTAGAAAGCTGTTCACATAAGGATATGAATGTTGTGGATACAGAATAGAAAATTCGAAATATTACAGGGCAATGAAACTCAAATTTGTATTCAGTGAAGACCATAGAAACACACCTCTCATTAACTTTTTCACCACCACTTTCTCGCCAATATTTTTCCGTATTTTTTTAATATATTTTTCACTATTTCTGGAAATGAATCCTAATTTTGGAGCCAACAGACAAAATTTGATTCATTTTTTTAGTTTTTACTCAAAAAGGAAGAAAAGTGCTGACTGTAGACAGGACTATTTTGTGAATTTGTGATAAAAAAAGGGAACTGATGGTGAAAAGGTTACGGTAAGAGTTTGTTACTAACAAAGCAAATACGGTACTTAATTTTAAAAAAAATATATCACATAACATCAAGGAGTGTATCCTACCTAACAGCAAACTCTGGTTTCCCCATCACTACGTTACCCTGCTGCAGTTCCACTGGACATGCCCTTGCCCACTTGCTACGCCGCCATCGATAGCGTGGAGCAACAATCTCATTATTGGCCAGTGTCCTCATAAGTTCATCAGTTTCAAGGTCTTCGGGGATATCTTCACCATCGGGGTCATGTAAGCGGATCGGCACAGCGGCACGGCGTAGTGAGAATGTGTTGAGTTTGGTCTGTAGGTCTTTAAAAAGCTGATTAGCATTCTTATTGGCATCCAACTCAATCACATACTGTTGGTCATGATCTGCCATATAGTCCTGTCAAGCATAGACAAAGATTAAAAGTTAGTATGTACTGCTCTAATAAATAAACTTGTAGCTTCAGTTTGAACGGCTTGGGGCACCATAGTACACTCCATAAAGTTAATACAACCAAAGACAGAAGAGCATCTTGTACAAGCTTGACTGTATGAATGCTTGCATGTACTTGCACTAAGGAGGCTGCATTGTCAACTTACTGCCTATGAAGTAAATAACAATAAAACTTATTTTTAATAATACTTGACGTTATGATGAATTTCATCATGAGAGACCCTATTCTGACCTCGCCTACAGCTGAAAAACAGTTATACAAGACAATTTTTTAACCACTGGAACCAAAGAACCACACTCAGTTGCAGCTATATTTAAGCTAGTACAATCATAGTCTTCATATCAAAGATCTCATACATACACAATATATTAATACAAAAAAGTCATAAGAGATCGTAGATCCACCAGCATCTTTTTCACAAGCACTGATTGAACAACTGTATCTTCAATAATGCCCCAGACATGATATATATGAATTTTAATGAGGTCACATAACAATATATGGTTAATCAATATGTTGATCAGATCTAGCAAGCAATATCTTTAATATAACACTGTGCAAATGTTTTTGTCTGCAATAGTGTTTCTGATACGACTCAGCATGGACAGATGCTAGTAACCGCTATATCCCCTACAATTCGTGCCGGGGGATAATACATGTAATAGGATCCACTCAAGATATTGCTTGCTTTTCTGAGAATAACAATTAACGCATAGCAGGCACCACACCATATTACATTCGAAATGAGTCTCATACAACACATGTAAAAACAATTGTTGATCTACATTATATTTAAACATGTGTTGCATTGGCCGTGGTACTTAATCTACAGTGGAGAATAAACTGAAGGGTGGCTGTAATCATCCTTACTTCTAATACTCTTAACATCATGTCTTTGTAAGTGTCAACGCTAAGGTCAACTTGCTGTGGCAGATCTTCAGGTCGTTTGACAAGTCTCTCAATAACATCAAAACCTAATTCCACAGTCTCTTCATCTCCCTGAAACGTAAATGAAAACAACTGTATTACACCCATCCATAACACTATAACAGCCAAACCTATTTAAAGTAAATGCATGAGTATGTTTTTTTAAACGAACATCAACATGGTTGATGTTTTAAGTACTACAAATATTGATGAATTAGTTTGTGACAAGAAATTCGACAGAGGTGTAAAAAACCTGCTGAGTGAAATTATAAAGAAAAAGGTTTTGAAACGTCAAAAATGAGATAAAAATAAGGAACTGATTTCAACATGCAATGTTCAATATAGGTAATGCATAGACAGTGAATAAAACCAACTACTCTCTGGATTGTGCTGGCAAGGATGAAACAACTTTCTAACAACTTCATTCATATTAAAATTATATCTTAACAACAAAATATAGAGAAAAATGTCACTACATTTAGTCATTCATGTTGTGGACAGACCAAAAATCATGGCATCCATGGCAAATGCACACAAAAATATCTCTTTTGTGCCAAAACTAATTTCTGGATGAACAAAGTACTGTACATTGACTGGTCTACTAACAAACTACCGGTAAAGAAAAGCTGTGAGAATATGAAGCTTTAATAGTCAAAAAACATTTAAATAAAATGTATAGTTAAGGTCATATGATAACAAGGTTTATGCGTATATACAATAACCTGATGATCAGAAGTTGAAAATAACAGGGACAGTATGAACTTGGTCATGAACATTAAATGAGAAATGTAACAACAACCAAACATGCAGAAATTGATGGAGAGAACAGAGGGGGAGAAGTAGCAACTAAGTAAGACCTCTTCGCGGTAGTTTAAAAGCTGCCTCTTTCTACCGGTTGCCATCTCCAGCTGCATTTGGTGCACCATCTCTTGGCGTATGCGTTCTTGCATTTCATAGACCTGACGCATACCACGCTGCATGGTTGAAATAGTACAGTGACTAAAAGAGTTAGTAAAGAACAGTGATAGAAGAGTGGTATGATGATCTATGCTACATGTACCAGTGATAGATAAAGTTTAAAGTACAGAAAACATGCTGATAAGTAAAGAGACACACTCCCTTGGTGAAACCAGAAATAACAACAGCGTTCTCCTTAGAAATTTAAATCACTGTGGCAATAACAAAAATTACAAATTTACATATTATTCTTACTCATAAAAGCAAACATAATTATTCACTTACAAAACTCTTACTGCATCAAAAGTTACACAACTAAAGTTTTCAGCAATTCATCAATGTGATTTAAAAAGAGCTACTGCCACAGTGGTTTATATCTTATGGAGAACACTGAACGTGATGGAACTAAGAATACAGAATATAAATCAATACACACTCTGAAACCACAGATTGTAGCAAAAACTGCACAGAACTGCAAAAATCTTTTGTAAAATGAAACATGCAAATAATAAACCTCTTAGTAATTGCTTACATAAAAAATTTTGTTGTAATTGAGAAAATGCAAGGGATCATTGCTTATGGTGATTGAAACCTGATACAGTAGGTTTATTTTCCTGTTTCTGTATTTAAATTGGTCACATGGTACTATACAACTGATAAAAAAAATCTCATTGATTAATTAACAACCAATCAGAACATGTGGTACAAAGGCATCTTCTGATTGGTTATCAAATTTCATCAGAGACAATTCCCATAAGAAATGTCATTTTTGCTGCTATAAATATTCATGATTTGAAGAATTTATGGACTTTGTGAAAACAAAATTTCAGAACTCACAGACACTTCACTACCAAATTCACAGTAGTTAAGAGCATTCAGGTTAGGGTACAGAGAAAAGGCCCAGCAATATATGGTCAATTTATTTTCAGGTTATTATCACTTTATTTTAATTTTCAAGTGGAATTAAAGATTTTTATTTACTGATTTTAAACAGCAACTTTTTATTGTGCCTTATATCTTTATCAGATATTAATCAATACTAAACACTGGTAACACAATGCCAAGCATAAAATCAATGCATCACGATAGAATATGATGAGCTTTGATTTCCAATGAGCACAATTAGGTTCAGCTATTGTCCGTAAATTTGACTGACAATGCCTTGGATCATGAAAGTTTTGAGTCAGGAAGTTCTGAGACGGCATTGATTTTACACTGCACAATGCCATGCAGAAATACTTATTACTGGTATAACTCACCTCTTCTTCTCCCATCTCTTCTTCACCTTCTTCCTCCTCTTCCATTTCTTCTTCCTCCTCCCCTTCTTCTTTATCCAGATCTGGTTCAGCTTTCTCGGGATCCCACTGCTCTTTGGTGTACATTTCATTTGTAACAGGATCAACTCGTTGTCCGGTTCTCCGAGCTGCAAGATCGTTGTCAGGAATCTATAGTAACAATTTAAAGAATGTTAACATATTGTCTGTACAATTTTTGATTACAACAATGAAAAGAGAGCATCCTGGGAATGAAATGTAGAAGTTAGCATGATGTCACTTGTTCCATCGAGCCAGAACTGAAAACAATGATCAATGGAATAAAAGAATCATCACGTAAACTAATACAATAATTGACAACATCTGCCAGAAAAGAGGAGAAGCACAGTTTAAATTTAAAAATCGACTAAATTCAAGAGTACAGTCTAGGTTTTTGATATAACTTAAATTAAATCTTACCTTTAAATTGATGATGAAATCTGGCTTTAGTTTCCAGTTTTTAACAAGTTCCAATTGATCCACGACTCTCATGTAGTCTTCACAGAGAGAGGGAAAACCATCTAGTACATACCCTGGGATGAAAGAAAAATAATTCACAGATTAGAATAAATAGATCACATCATGTTACGACTATCCACAACAAGCTATTTTAAATATGATAGCAAAATCTCAGTTTTCAAAGTTTTTTTATGTTTTCTTTAAAAAGTAAAAAGCGGTTGACATAAAAGGAAAAAGCACCCAAACTCAACATCCCAGACCCCAACTACTGCTATTGACTTAGATTATTTTACATAACTTTGGAAGGAATCAATTTCAGAATGGCATGTTAGAGACTAAAATTGTTCAATTACAAAGTATTTTCTTCATTTGTCACTCCACATACACAACTTTTTGACAAGACATACCGTGGTGGGCTACTTCTGGTGAGTTAATTTTTTCTTCAATCATTTTAGCCACCATTTCCTCTGGTAGTGCTTCACCACGGAGTAAAATCTCTGATACTTTGTTTCCTATGTCTGTTTCCAGGTCCATATTTTGTAAGATCAACTCTGTGGGACTGACCAATTCACATTTCCAGTTCTGCGCAAGTCTTTTAGCAAGTGATGTTTTACCAGCTCCAGGTTTGCCAACAACAATAAAACAGGTTGGCTTGGAATGTAAAAATCGGAGCTCACTCTGCAATGAAATACAATTCAGTAATTTACATTATGCACGGAAATGAGAATGCAGTTTACCGTACACCAATTAGAATGCTAGAAATGTTTGAAACTACATGTATATAAATTAGGGCATCCATGATGACAGACTGTCACTGTGAATACTTGACATTAGAGATTCACAGTCAATTCATTCCAATTTGTCCCAAAATATTCAGCCCAATGCATGCTATCCCTATGCATTCATCACAATACAATTTTGTCCCATTGCATTATGGCATCCTAGTGCAAATCACAGACTTAGAACTTGTAGAAAGAATATGTGCAGGGTGTCATAAAAGATACATTTGTTTCACATATTAGAATTACATGTGCCACATGAAACAGTGCAGCAGCCCAATGAAGAATAAATGGTAGTCTTACATGCCTTTCATTCATCTTTAGTTCAATAGTAATGAACTTATTTTGTACTATAACATGTATAAGCACAGTCTAGAGGCACTGTGGTATAAAGGAACTGTGGTATAAGG